GGGTAAAATGAGGACCCAGATTGTTGGGGGCAAGAGGCTGACTCTGTAAACCGCTTAGAGAGGGCTGAAAGCCCTATGAAGCGGTATATAAGTCTGAGTGCTGTTGTTGTCCCAATGGTCATGTAATCCAAATTCAGACTCTTGGAAGCTGACTTGTATTTATGACGGTCGCAGTGTCCTGGGGTCATGTGATCCCCTTTTGGAGTTTTCTGACCAGCAAACTCAATGTGGAAGCCAGATTAACCGTACAACTTAACTAACGACAGCTGCCGCAATTCACTTAACTCTGGAAAGCACGGCCGTAACATGTTTCAGATCACATAAACATGTCTACACCCGTAAAATGTTACAGGGTCTCCTGCTTAAGCAGGGTGTGTGTGTGGCTGGGCTAGAAGACCTCTGAGGTCCCTTCCAACTCTCTTTCTCTCTTACTCAGGTCTCATCAATGACCATAAAAACGCCCATGGGAATGCGCCGGTACCGCCACCGCCTGCTTCGCTCTCCAGGTGGAGGAACCCGAAGCTTCCTGCCTTTCACAGCCAAGCGGCCTTCGGTGCAGGATACGGCCAGCAACCCTCCCGAGATTACCCGTCCGGCCAGCCCAACGCCACTACCTGGAGGAAGAAATACTCTCTGGTCAACACCCCGCCTAGACCAGCCTTGTCTTCGGCCAGCAGCGTTTCTCCGGGGACTTCCTGGGCGACCGAGAGCCGTGCCGGAAGGGAGGCTCCCGAGCCACAACTGATGCTTTCGGAGGCGAAGGCCGTCTCCGGCACAAAGGCAAATGTCGGGCTGCCAGCTGGCTCCGTGGCGGGTGATGCCATTGGCTCCGGGTTCCCGCCGGGCAATCCAGGATCGAGAAAGGCACCGTTGTCTTCTAGGGGAAGCCCGTCGGCAGGTCCTTGGCCTGTCAACGCGGACTCGAGACACCACAAAGAGACGTGCGCTTCCACTTTGTCCCACGTACCCCGTTGCAAAAGTCTGGCTACGGGTGGAAATAACCGACCGGCGGCTGCTCAGAAGAAGCCCGTCGGGGGGAGTGACCTGACCCCCCGTTTAGGCAGGACTATCAGCGAGAGCGCCATTACGTTGAAATCTGAGCCTCGGCGGTGTCTGGCCTCGCCTGAACAGGGAACAGGGTCTCTCCCAACCTGGAAGAAGCCACTCCCCCAGATTTCACACCTGTCTGGTTCACACCGCCAACCCTCCCCTGCAGGGACAGCCAAGCTCCTCCCTACCAGGAGCGTGGGTCCGTCTGCCGGCTGTGCCCATTCGGGCGAGGAGGCGTCTTCCAGCACTGGGACGAGCCTTCCGCCAAACAAGCCCGCCGGTTTTTCGCTCCAGAAGTCGTCTTCCTTGCTGGCCCCCAGCAAGTCTTCCCGCTTTAAGAGAGCCAACTACACCTGGGTGGCAAATCCCAGCAAATCCCCCCGAAGCGCGAAGCGGTGGGCCGTTTCCAGGACCCCTGAAAGCACCCCCAAGTTTGGCGCCTGCACGGCAACGACCTCCCCCAAGTTACAGTCCAGGGGAGCGCATCTCGAGCCGGGGGTCAAACCAAAGAGACCCAGCCCGCATTCGAAGCTGGCGGTCTCCTCCAGCCGGTACAGGTGGAAAGCGGCGAGTGCGAAGTCTGCTCCTTCCACCTCGGCGTCGGTCTTCACTTGGAAGCGCAAAGAAGGGGTTGGACCCGGGGAGGCCCCCTGTGTGGCCGCCAGCACCTCCCTCCAGGCACTGAGGCGGGTCCCTCTCGGACATGGCAGCCCGCGAGGCTTCTTTGGAACTAGCGTTTTTTTTAATTACCGACTGAGGAGTTGGCCCAAAACCCCAAAGAGGAAAGGAGGCGCCAGGTAGGTTCTGATCCGGCTAGGAGGGTCTCTGTCCAATTGGGATTTTTTTCTTTTCACTTCCATTGCTCATCCTGGTTATGAAAGTGGGAGTGGAGTAGAGACTGGAGTGGAGTGGAGTGGAATAGAATAGAGGAATGAAGAAGAGAACAGATAGCATAGCATACCATGAAAGAATAAAGAAGGGAATAGAAAAATGAAAAGGAATGGATAGAATGTTTATAGTTTAGTTTTATAGTTTTATTAGTATTTGTAGGCCGCCCTTTTCCCTGAGGGGACTCAGGGCGGCTCACACAAAACCGGGAA